AACCCAGCCCCATCAACACAGATATGGTAGTTGCCATTTGAGGGTTTAAGCGCCACATAGGTCTACAATCTGACAACCTGTATACTGTATATTTCCAGACTGTGATTCTATCTGCTTGCTCTGACCGAGTGTCCTGTGCCACTGAATTTAACAAGATCACAGCTCTAGTCTGGAAGCTGTACAACAAATTAAATTTAGCCATGAGGTGAGTGTGTCATTGAAATGAACGAGATCATGGTTCTACTCTGGAGCCACATGAACCTCTTATACCTGGCCATAAGGTGAATGTGTAAATGATAGAATCACCTTCAGTGAAGAGCATATATTGTTTGGCTTTAAGGGTAAACATAAAAATCCTTTGAAAGTTGTTATTATGATACCGGTAACAAAATCTTCCGTATACAAATTTTATAGAAAAATGACTAAACCAAGCTTTTTATCCTTTCAAAAAGAAATAGTAAGATATTACGAAATTTCAAAGTTTATTCATATTCAAATTGTAACTTTGCAGGCATTCATGCCTTCTGGTCCTCCTTCTTTTTACTGTTTAGAAATCCTCTACTCTAATTCCTGAAAACTGAACACATTCTATATAGTATGACTAGAAATTATTGAGAATTTTAGGAATATATTTAATTGGATTTCTAGTATAGACGACCTTGACCAGCTATCAAGTGCTTGGTTTCATTCAAGAGAGACAACTCTGTTACTCCTTTTTCATTAGTTTGTGAAGAGTTATCCCCCTTTGTTTACTTGCTAGCAGACGACATTTCAGTGATCCTCAGTATGGATGATTTAGAGAAGAGGAAGTTGATTTTAGAGTATTATAACAAGGACATCAGATTAGCTAAAGTGATTTCAAGTAGAACAGGCATCCCTTTGTCCACTGTTTATCGTGCTTTGAAAAATATTGCAAATGGATATGGCACTGAGCACCAGGGAGGCGCAGGTAGGCCCAGAAAATTGAATGTCGTTTTATTTCTAAAAACAAACGAAGGAGTTTAGAAAACTTAAGGCTGGATATGATTGATAGAGGAACTGTGGCTGTCTGTAAGGAAACAATTGGAACTGAGCTGCATGCAATGGGTTGGCAGAAAGGTCGAGGAATTCCATCACCGATCATGAAACCTGAACAAAAAGAGCGAAGGTTGAACTGGTGCTCAGCATAGAAATTTTAACTGGGACAATGTGATTTTCTCAGATGAAAGTTCTGTGTGGCTGTTTCCTAATACACTGAAATTCTGGACCAAACAAACTGAAAAACCTTTGTATCAGCGTCCAAAGTACAGTCCGAAATTTAACATGTGGGGTTGCATATCTGTGTTAGGGGCAACACCCCTCTGTGTATTTGAAGGGAGCGGTACACAGATATTCTCGAGGGACATTTACTTCTTTCTGCTCATGTGTTCTATGGAAATCTTTGGATTTTCCAGCAGGACAACGACCCAAAACATCGTTCAAAGCATTCACAGGCCTGGTTTCAGACCCAAAATATGACATGATTAGATTGGCCAATCTGTAGCCCTGACCTTAATCCAATAGAAAATGTTTGGGGACTTATGAAGGAAAGTGTCAATAATAAAAATCTGACAAATATTGCTCAAATGAAAGAAGAGGTGGTCCGATATTGGGACAGCATGTACCACGACTTTCTAACTTCTTTTATCAGTAGTATGCCCCATCGCATTGAAGCCTGCATTGCTGCCCATGGTGACTTTACAAAATACTAACTGTTCACCTGTCTTTGAATCTGAAGTTATGTTCTGCTAATATTCAAATTTAATACGTGAGTAACGTGTGAAAAAAATAAATAAATTTACAATCTTTAAATTCTCAAAAAATTCTGGTTGTACTGTACATGTGTGTATGTGTATACGTCAGGGCAGAGACTGCGATCGGAGTCTCTACTGGCAAAATCTCTGATCCTACTGGTAGGGATTGCAATTGAAGTCTCTACCAGTAGAGACTCTGATAATATAGAATAACCTATACAATCGCAATCTCTACCAGTAGAATCTCAAATCTGATCCTACTAGTAGAGATTGCAATCTAAGTGAATATTTAGAAAAACAAAATTTACTTTCATATATTGTAAAATTACATCTTTCATTGAAAAGTGCACACTGTTTGTCCAACTTAATGTTTACAAACAAAATGAAAAAAACAACCCATTGTTACTTTGTTTTCATTTATTATTGTTATTGTAAACAAATGTTAACTCTAAAATTAATTTAAAAAAAAAATTCAATGTTCATTTTAGAAAATCTCACACTTTGTTGTGAGTGCTAATGTCAGCTATGTCCATCAATAAATGACATTAGCAACATTTAGGTCTGTCATAAATGTGACATTATTTGTTATCAACAATCACTTTTCAATGGAAGATATCGAATATAAACATAAAACAATATGTCACAATAGTGAGTTTTGTCGGATCCATGTCACCTTCTTAACATGTCTCAGATCTCACCTCTCTGACCAGTAACTGACTGGTGTAATTGTTCATGGTGTCCTCCCAGGAATCCAGTCATTTCCCCACCATTTCCCCAGCCGGAAAATACCTCACCCAAATATATATCTGGCCAGTCATTTCCCCACCTTCCTGTTTTTTTGGTTGTTATTTCACTCAAATATAAGAATGAATGAACAAGAAGTAGTGAATGAAGAAGAAGTAGTGTAAAATACATTTCATTCTTTAATATTCAGGTCCCATCCGGGTTTAAGGAAAGGCTTCCAAAGTACTGACAATATTTTTGTGTTGGACACAATAAATCTCTAAATATTTAGCACTTCATTATTAAGAGTTTTTCGATTGATTAAAAACATATATTTTAATGTAAAGTCTTGTGTCTCACTAAATGAAGACTTTACTGATTTCTTGGAGTGTATGTATGACATTTGACAGGGCTGTCAGTTGTCACCCTAATCCAGGAAGGAGGAAAGACCGGCATAGCACCCAGCGAAAGATTATGCCCCTTTTGTATTGTACCCATTATTGAGTCTGAACATCACTTCTGCTTAGAATGTAAATTTTATAATAATCTTCGTCAGGCCCTGCTCCCTAAGTATTATTACACTTCTCCATCTCTCCATAAATTTGTACAATTGTTGACATCTTATAATGCTTCTCTTCTTAATAATCTAGCTAAATATGTATTTCTAGCTTTTAAGAAAACGTTCACAATTTCTCAACTGAATTGATGCAATGTGGTATTTTACCTTATTTTATCTCATCTCTTATACATCATGTTCTGTGTACCTGTATAATGGGCTGGTGGCCCCTTTACTGAAATAAACTAGAAATTCACTGGAAACAGTCTAGTGTTACATCCGAATAAAATGCATATTATTGTTCAGCAAATAAAGTGTCTTTGTTGTTTGCCCACAGATGAATCGGAGTCTCTACCATTTGAATTGGAAACTGTACTGGTAGGATGTACCCGATTGTACCTAGTAGAGACAGTAGAGACCAGTTGCAATCTCTACTAGTAGGATCTCTTGGAGATTCTACCAGATTGCAATCTCTACCCTGACATATATATGTGTGAGTGTGTATATATATGTATATATGTGTGAGTGTGTGTGTGTGTGAGATAAAAATATATGTACATGTATATGTGTGTGTGTGAATATGTATATGTTGCTAATACATTTACAACAATAACTATACATTTTGATGCACACTTTACCTTTGAATGTCCATTAAGGAGGGAAAATGTAACTTCAAAAGATGGAAATAAAAAAAATAACTTTAGCCTGTGTCTAGTTTGTCTAGACATGTGCAAGTGTTGTGGAATAGAACAAGATCACGTTTTAGTCTGGCAGATGAATCACCAAGTATGTCTAGCCATGTGGCGAGCGGGTCATGATCACAACTCTAGTCTTCCATATGTGACATCGAACTATCGATGGATTGCAATTGTTGAGTCTCTGATAGCAATTAATTGATGGGAGAAATGAATAACTATGGATGCATCGATAGTATGTGTGACTATTGATAGTTTAGTAATTGACTTCCGTTGATAAATGCGCAGCTCAAAATACAGGACGTACCAGATTCGTTCACTTTCATTTAGAGTCATTAGCTAGCCCCTGTTACCTCTTAAACAAACTTGAACTGGGTTTCAGGTTTCTTGTCAGTTATTAAAAGAGACTGAAACTACTTCAGCTTGTTTATATTTCATATAAACTATACATTCATTTGGGAAATGACTTCAAATGAGACAATTCAAGGAAAATCTATTGCAGTAGTATTGCAATAGTTGGTCGCAATAGGCTATCGCTATCGCAGTTAGTATGTTGCAATAGACTATCGCTGTCGCAATAGTTGTTTCCCCTCAATAGTCACCACTAGTGACACGCAAGTATATCTAACTGTGTGGTGAGTTTGTCCACAAGAGGATTAAGAGGATCTCTTAGTGTCAAATAACTGTACAATGGCCACATACATTTTGTCCAAAGGAACCTATGAATGACTTCATGCTATGCTTGTAACATAGGGACTACTTCTTATAGTCTAAGCTGTATTTGGTCAGATTATAATTTTTGACTGTTTTAGAAACATATTCTAAGTGAGTATATTTTGCCCTGTTATTTTCAGGCTTGTTGTCATTCCAAGCAGAGACCTTTTATTGTGTGAAAGTCTGAGGGTGGAGATACAGATGTGGGCCCCCAGTGTCAGGAAGTACATCAAGGTAGGGCTTGTTAAACAGTCCAGACAGACACCTGGTGCTGTGTGAGAGTGTAGGGTGGAGATACAGATGTGGGCCCCCGGTATCAGGAAGTACATCAAGGTAGGGCTTGTTAAACAGTCCAGACAGACACCTGGTGCTGTGTGAGAGTGTAGGGTGGAGATACAGATGTGGGCCCCCGGTATCAGGAAGTACATCAAGGTAGGGCTTGTTAAACGGTCCAGACAGACACCTGGTGCTGTGTGAGAGTGTAGGGTGGAGATACAGATGTGGGCCCCCGGTATCAGGAAGTACATCAAGGTAGGGCTTGTTAAACAGTCCAGACAGACACCTGGTGCTGTGTGAGAGTGTAGGGTGGAGATACAGATGTGGGCCCCCAGTGTCAGGAAGTACATCAAGGTAGGGCTTGTTAAACAGTCCAGACAGACACCTGGTGCTGTGTGAGAGTGTAGGGTGGAGATACAGATGTGGGCCCCCAGTGTCAGGAAGTACATCAAGGTAGAGCTTGTTAAACAGTCCAGACAGACACCTGGTGCTGTGTGAGAGTGTAGGGTGGAGATACAGATGTGGGCCCCCAGTGTCAGGAAGTACATCAAGGTAGGGCTTGTTAAACAGTCCAGACAGACACCTGGTGCTGTGTGAGAGTGTAGGGTGGAGATACAGATGTGGGCCCCGGTGTCAGGAAGTACATCAAGGTAGGGCTTGTTAAACAGTCCAGAGAGACACCTGGTGCTGTGTGAGAGTGTAGGGTGGAGCTACAGATGTTGGCCCCCAGTGTCAGGAAGTACATCAAGGTAGGGCTTGTTAAACAGTCCAGACAGACACCTGGTGCTGTGTGAGAGTGTAAGGTGGAGATACAGATGTGGGCCCCCAGTGTCAGGAAGTACATCAAGGTAGGGCTTGTTAAACAGTCCAGACAGACACCTGGTGCTGTGTGAGAGTGTAGGGTGGAGATACAGATGTGGGCCCCCGGTGTCAGGAAGTACATCAAGGTAGGGCTTGTTAAACAGTCCAGACAGACACCTGGTGCTGTGTGAGAGAGTGTAGGGTTGAGATACAGATGTGGGCCCCCGGTGTCAGGAAGTACATCAAGGTAGGGCTTGTTAAGCAGTCCAGACAGACACCTGGTGCTGTGTGAGAGTGTAGAGTGGAGCTACAGATGTGGGCCCCTGGTGTCAGGAAGTACATCAAGGTAGGGCTTGTTAAACAGTCCAGACAGACACCTGGTGCTGTGTGAGAGTGTAGAGTGGAGATACAGATGTGGGCCCCAGTGTCAGGAAGTACATCAAGGTAGGGCTTGTTAAACAGTCCAGACAGACACCTGGTGCTGTGTGAGAGTGTAGGGTGGAGATACAGATGTGGGCCCCCGGTGTCAGGAAGTACATCAAGGTAGGGCTTGTTAAACAGTCCAGACAGACACCTGGTGCTGTGTGAGAATGTAGGGTGGAGATACAGATGTGGGCCCCCGGTGTCAGTGGTCAGGAAGTACATCAAGGTAGGGCTTGTTAAACAGTCCAGACAGACACCTGGTGCTGTGTGAGAGTGTAGGGTGGAGATACAGATGTGGGCCCCCGGTGTCAGGAAGTACATCAAGGTAGGGCTTGTTAAACAGTCCAGACAGACACCTGGTGCTGTGTGAGAGTGTAGGGTGGAGATACAGATGTGGGCCCCCCAGTGTCAGGAAGTACATCAAGGTAGAGCTTGTTAAACAGTCCAGACAGACACCTGGTGCTGTGTGAGAGTGTAGGGTGGAGATACAGATGTGGGCCCCCCAGTGTCAGGAAGTACATCAAGGTAGGGCTTGTTAAACAGTCCAGACAGACACCTGGTGCTGTGTGGAGTGTAGGTTGGAGATACAGATGTGGTCCCCGGTGTCAGGAAGTACATCAAGGTAGGGCTTGTTAAACAGTCCAGACAGACACCTGGTGCTGTGTGAGAGTGTAGGGTGGAGATACAGATGTGGGCCCCAGTGTCAGGGAAGTACAACAAGGTAGAGCTTGTTAAACAGTCCAGACAGACACCTGGTGCTGTGTGAGAGTGTAGGGTGGAGATACAGATGTGGCCCCGGTATCAGGAAGTACATCAAGGTAGGGTTTGTTAAACAGTCCAGACAGACACCTGGTGCTGTGTGAGAGTGTAGGGTGGAGATACAGATGTGAGCCCCAGTGTCAGGAAGTACATCAAGGTAGGGCTTGTTAAACAGTCCAGACAGACACCTGGTGCTGTGTGAGAGTGTAGGGTGGAGATACAGATGTGGTCCCCCGGTGTCAGGAAGTACATCAAGGTAGGGCTTGTTAAACAGTCCAGACAGACACCTGGTGCTGTGTGAGAGTGTAGGGTGGAGATACAGATGTGGGCCCCCAGTGTCAGGAAGTACAACAAGGTAGAGCTTGTTAAACAGTCCAGACAGACACCTGGTGCTGTGTGAAAGTGTAGGGTGGAGATACAGATGTGGGCCCCCAGTGTCAGGAAGTACATCAAGGTAGGGCTTGTTAAACAGTCCAGACAGACACCTGGTGCTGTGTGAGAGTGTAGGGTGGAGATACAGATGTGGGCCCCCAGTGTCAGGAAGTACATCAAGGTAGGGCTTGTTAAACAGTCCAGACAGACACCTGGTGCTGTGTGAGAGTGTAGGGTGGAGATACAGATGTGGGCCCCCTCAGGAAGTACATCAAGGTAGAGCTTGTTAAACAATCCAGACAGATAATCTATTATGTAAGCACATACATGCTGAACTGGGTTAAGGACCATTCCCTCTGCAATTTCAGTTGGCTCATGTTTCCTGCATTGATGACTATGTTGCTAGGCGTCTGATGTGTTACCATAGCAACAACCAAGCAGATTATAAACAATTTCAACACCTACAGATGGTATGTACATAAGGTTTTGTTTATTTATACACTATCAGAACATGATTGCTGATGCTATTTTGTTACCATAGGAACTGCAATAATCGATTCATTTATTCAGGTGATTACCATTACACACGTTTCTCAGAAATAAATGACATTTTATAAAAACCTCTTTCTCACTTATTGTGTTACATGTTTTATAACATTCTTTGAATTAATTCGTGACATGGATCATTTTGCTTTGCTTTGAAGGCGGATTTTAGTACAGGTATTTATAACAGGGTTTTACATGACGTGTGATTCCTGCATATTTGACGCAACAATTTTGTAAAAGACTCTCAAAATATTATCATACGAGTCATTCTTGACGCAATTTTTATGAGTGACCCTCAGAATTCAGTTCAATAAAATCGATTTGATAAGCAAACAATGATAACTTTCGTTTTATTGTAAACTATATTGAAAACGCTCGTTGTATTAACAGAAAGTACGGGAACACCTAGTGGCTACAAATATAGAGCCATGCTAGAATGCGGTAAAGATACCAGCCAATAGCATTTGAGTATGCCATTCACTATATTTAGACAGCCAATAGCAGTTGAATAGGTCAGACGCTATGTTTAAACTTTGTTTTGGTCATTTTAGCATTGTCAGTCCTGCTAAGAAACAGCTGTAGCTTGACTCGTTTTTCGGTAATGAAAGCAAGAAAAACTAATCTCATGACGTTTCTAATGATGAGCACTAAAACCAACTGCAAAATCATGACCTGTGATATATACATTCGGGCAAAAATAAATCGAACCCCTTTACATTTGTTTGTCAAAATTTTAAGAACTCAACCTTAACCAGTCATAAATCTTCTAAAGATGACATTGACTCAGTTAAAATTCACGTGCAAAATCATTTCAGCATATCTGTCAAAATGCAGAAAAGGCTAACGAAGTTCACCGTAGTGACCAGACTGATGGTCACATATGCAAATGCGCACTGTTTATGTCATGGCTCAAAATATATCCATGCCGATACCTTTAGAGATTTGATGAATCTACAAGTTATCAATGGTGTAGAACAGTGCAGTAACTTTTACAGAAATGCTCAGAGGAATCGATCTTCGATATTATGGAAGAACAGCAAATTGAAGCCATAAAAAGCAGTCCATACATTGGCCTTTTGTTGGATGAGACCTGTGATATCACCATAGAAAAAAAGCTTGCAATTTATGTTAGGTACATTGATGGTGAACTCTCTGGGTGAACCTGCTTGTATACAGTATACTGGACTTTGTTATAGTTGAATTGAACAGTGAAAAATATACTATTTATTAACTAATCTTATAAATGAGTGAGTGAGTGAATTAAAATTTTATGTCACCTTGGCAATATTTCAGCCATATAGTGACGAGAAATGTTTTACATAGGCAATAAATTTTAATCGTTAAATAATCAGTCATCAAAGGACTGTAAAATAACTAGAGTATCACAGATGGAGTCTAAAACTAGCATGTAAATCTAAAACTATTTTACTTATGAAGACAATGCAATATAAAAACAGGCTATAGATCGCCAACTGAAAGGTAGATCGCCACACTAGGGACCTTGGGGACTTACATTGCTGTTTGCTACCTACAAGGACTCATATAAATGACAATACAACACAAAACAACAAAATCGTTGCACAACTCTTGCTTTAGGATTTACACATTGAAATATTACACCAAATATTAAACTAAAGTTTTCATGACTCCCAAATACTGAAAATGACTCTCCAAAATAAATACTGTGAGTCACCATGACTCCCGTTTTTCTAAGTCTGTGTAAAACCTTGATATAGAATGGTCCAGTTGATGTAGGGGTTTTAAGAGTGTGGGACAAAATTTATTTACCAGCAGTGAAAATTAAGATAAGAAAAAGTTTTTTAGTTTATGTCTGAAGAAATATTCAGGGCAAGTGGGAGATTGGAAACGAAGAAAAAATATAGGCAGCCTTACTTTGTCCATGTTATATGAATTGAGTATGCAGGAATCCTGTGGTTGGTATTTAAATCCCTGAATATGTTCATTGTTTGTGATAAGAATACCCTTGTTTGTGCTTTCAGTAAAATGGTAGGGTGTAGGGGTAGCCTAGTGGTTAATGCCTTCGCTCGTCACGCTAAAGACCCGGGTTCGATTCCCCACATGGGTACAATGTGTAAAGCCCATTTCTGGTGTCCCCTGCCATGATATTGCTGGAATATTGCTAAAAACAGAGTAAAACTAAACTCACTCACTCAGTAAAATGGTAATCATTTGACCTTCATTGCTTTAGCTGTGTTCCCATGTCAAACTGGCATGCTGCACTACATTTGAAGAGGAACACTTTTTATGGATAGGCAACTTCTTTGTTGCAGTAGATTCATTGTTTCGGTGTAGATCCTAACACTGTTATCAAACAAATGATGACGATGTTAGAATCTACTCCGAATCGTCACATCTATTGCAATAAATCAGTTGTCTATCCAGAAAAAAATGTTCCTCTTCATCATACAGGCTTCTAATTGTCAGTTAACAGAACTTTGCACAACATGACAATACAACACAAAACAACAAAATCGTTGCACAACTCTTGCTTTAGGATTTACACATTGAAATATTACACCAAATATTAAACTAAAGTTTTCATGACTCCCAAATACTGAAAATGACTCTCCAAAATAAATACTGTGAGTCACCATGACTCCCGTTTTTCTAAGTCTGTGTAAAACCTTGATATAGAATGGTCCAGTTGATGTAGGGGTTTTAAGAGTGTTGGACAAAATTTATTTACCAGCAGTGAAAATTAAGATAAGAAAAAGTTTTTGTTGTATTGTCCAAAGCGGTGTAGAACCCATATCTCTCACTCATGCTTCAGGGTATTAGTGACGGTAGATGTGTTATCATTTAGGTCTATGGAGAGGTTTTGGATGTGACTCGCTTGTTGGGAGTTATGTTGGAGCAAAGACCAAGTTCCAGTGATGTGGTAAGTGTGAAGTTATGATTCCATGGGGGTGGTGGGGTAATCTAGTACTTAAAACATTGGCCCCTCATGGGTACAATGTGTGGAACCTGTTTCTGGTGACACCACTGTAATATAGTTGGAATATTGTTAAAAGCAACATAAAACCCAACACACTCGCTATGACTCACTTAGTCCAGTTTAGATTTGGTCCCTTGCATCTTTAGGTTGTTAACCCCGTGAAGATCCAGGTTAGAATTGATCTTCCGTAACCCATGCTAGTCGCAAGAGAAGACTTACAGGATCGGGTGGTCAGGTTCGCTGACTTAGTTGACACATGTCATTGGTTATCAATTGCATAGATCGATGCTCATGCTGTTGATCACTTTATTGCCTGGTCCAGACTCGATTATTTACAGACCGCCACCATAGCTGGAATATTGCTGCGTGCGGTTTACAAACTAAACTCACTCACTCACTCACTCTTATGGTTGTTGTTTAAGGTGACTGGATGAGTTGGTTGGTCGTTGACCTGGTTGATTGCTCGTCAGTGTACCCCAGAAGCTTGAAGATTTTGCTCATAATGTCAATCACTGCATTGTTTGGCCCAGAATAAATCATGAAAAGACTACATTTTGAATTTTGCTCATAATATCTATCACTGGATTGTTGGACTCAGAACTGTTTATGAATAGACTACCTTTAGGTTTTTGCTCACAATATTAATCCCAGAACTGTTGTGTCAGGAACTGATTATGAACAGGCAACCTTTTGGTTTTTGCTCATATTATCAATCACTGGATTGTTTGGCTCAGAATTGACAAAGGATAGACCACCTTTGTACAGATGGAATATAGCTGCGTGCAGTGGTAACTAACAAATGAACAAGTAACCAACAGTAATATGTATACATTTTGTCAACTAGTTCCAGTACACATACCTATCGATACAAACAAATTTTGGTGACATTGTGACAGTGTAATATTTTAAATGTATACTGTATTGACAGTGTAACATTGAATGTAGAATCTATTGACCATGTAATATTTTAATGTACGCTCTATTGTTAGTGTTACATTTTGAATGTACAACATATAGACAATATAACCTTTTGAATGTACAACATATGGACAGTGTAACATTTTGAATGACATCATTTGACGGTGTAACATTTTGAATGTACAAGATATGGACAGTGTAACATTTTGAATGTACAACATATTGACAGTGTAACATTTTGAATGTACAAGATATGGACAGTGTAACATTTTGAATGTACAAGATATGGACAGTGTAACCTTTTGAATGTACAAGATATGGACAGTGTAACATTTTGAATGTACAACATATGGACAGTGTAACATTTTGAATGTACAAGATATGGACAGTGTAACATTTTGAATGACATCGTTTGACAGTGTCACATTTTGAATGTACAACATATGGACATTGTAACCTTTTGAATGGACAACATATAGTCAGTGTAACAATTTGAATGTACAACATATGGACAGTGTAACATTTTGAATGTACAAGATATGGACAGTGTAACATTTTGAATGACATCATTTGACAGTGTCACATTTTGAATGTACAACATATAGACAGTGTGACATTTTGAATGTACAACATATGGACAGTGTAACATTTTGAATGAGATCATACGCACAGTGTAATATTTTGAATGTACAACATATGGTCAGTAACATTTTGAATGTACAAAATGGACAGTGTAACATTTTGAATGACATCATACACACAGTGTAACATTTTGAATGTACAACATATGGACACTGTAACATATTTAATGTACAACATATGGACAGTTTAACATTTTGAATGTACAACATATGGACAGTGTAACAATTTGAATGTACAACATATGGACACTGTAACATTTTGAATGTACAACATATAGACAGTGTAGCATTTTGAATGTGTGCTCAATTGACAGTGCATCATTTTAAATGCATGCTCTATTGTCAATGTATCATTTTGAATGTGTAACATGGACATTGTAACATTTTGATTTATCCAGTCCTTCTTAAATCCTAAATAGGCAGTGCCAGTGGACATGTTATCTGATTATTCTATACTCGTCCATCGGGCTGGCTAGCTGTAAAATTAGACCGTCCGGCAGAAATGAAATAAGGACGGGCCTTATTTCATGCACTGATATAGACAGTGTAACATTTTGAATGTACAACATATGGACATTGTAAACTTTTGAATTTACAGCAAATGGACAGTGTAACCTTTTGAATGGACAACATATAGTCAGTGTAACAATTTGAATGTACAACATATTGACAGTCTAGCATTTTGAATGTGTGCTCAATTGACAGTGCATCATTTTAAATGCATGCTGTATTGTCAATGTAACATTTTGAATGTGTAACGTATTGGCTAGGTGATCTGTTGACGGAGTAACCTATCAAGAGTGTAACCTATTGACAGTGTAATCCATTGACAGTATACCATGTTGACAGTCCAAACTATTGCAAAGACATGCCACGTGTGAAGGGATGATGAGGCTGTGGTTATTGTTTAAGGGTATTTGTATGTGTTTCAGAGTGACCTTATGTTGCCTGACTTTGGATTAGGGAACCAGGGACCAAGAGCGGCATCTGAGGAATATATTCTCAGTCTTCAAGAATTGTTCTTCTCACCAAAACATTTGGTGTCATAGAAACTAGTCTTTTCTAGAAGTACACAGGGTTTAACAGGAACCTGAGTGTATTCTGAATTTTGTTGAATGTAATTATTTTTATGGATTGCATTAAAGTTCTTGATGCACATTATCTCATATGCCTTCACTTGTTGAGCAGTATATTTTTATTTGACAAAGTATCCTGGTGCATGTAGCATCACAGTTTATTTCTATTAATGTATAGCTTTCATAGTCACGATATGCTTAAATACTGCCAATGCGAATAAATCATAGCAAAATGCATGGTGTGTTGTGTTTTCAATTTAAGAATAACTGTATTATGACATTTACTAGTATTTGGCAGGTAGTATGGGATGGGTGGGGTAGCCTAATGGTTAAAGCGTTCACTTGTCATACTGAAGACCTGGGTTCAATTCCCCACATAGGTGAAGTCCATTTTTGTGTCCCCTGCCGTGATATTGCTGGAAAATTGCTAAAGACGGCATAAAACCATACTCACTCACTAGTATAGGAGGGTATGGTCTAGGGAAATACAGATTCAAACTGGCCGTACCATCCCAAGCTAACTTACAAATGGCAGTGTCATGGGCAGGGGTGTTGTCAGTGGTTTGTCAAAATCCCACCTCGATTACATGTCTTCCACATGTTTGAACTCACAAGTTAGTTACCATTTACACATAACTTTAATAGTCATATGTATGCTGATTCAGACAGTGGGGCGGTGGGGTAGCCTTATGGTTAAAGCGTTGGCTCGTCACGCCGAAGACCCGGGTTCGAATCCCCACATGGGCACAATGTGTGAAGCCCATTTCTGGTGTCCCCACCGTGATGTTGCTGGAATATTGGTAAAAGCGGCGTAAAACCAAACTTTACAGACAGTAAAGGTTTCCTGTTTCGTTCAATATTTATAAAGGCAATGATAACATTGACAGAATAACAACATTAACCTCATAGTGGACAATAGAAACAGAATCAATGACCTATGCTAAGAGCTGTGGGAAGGGATGTCAGAGCAAGAAGGATGGGAAGTGGGACTGAATCCAACCTGACACTGCATGGACTTCTCCTTATACAGACATATGGAGACCACTTATGCTATGTTGTACTAGAGACCATATTATATGGTCTCTGGCTTTGCAATGATATTCCTGTGCTGGTATCTCTAGATGCAGATAACTGGATGATTATCATTACTAAACGTTGAAGTCATCAGGGACCAATATTGCGTACAGCTCAACAACAGCCCTCTTAATAACACATCCAGCAGACATCATTTTCAGTCTTGGACAAGAGGGCTGTTATGTGTTTCACCCTTCTGATCCTGACCCGAGTTTTATTATCCGTTTTTCTTGCTTCCAAAGAATCTCCGGATGGTCACTAAACTGGAAGTACTGAACCGGGAATACCTTTGACGACTTCACAAGGTTCAGACGGAAACAATTCCGAATCTCAGTCAGCCAATCTCCACATGGGACTCTATGACCTTGTTACATAGTTACCTGCCTTGGATGCTCGATCAGCCATGTTCTCAAAGAATATATTAGGAGTAACACTTGGTTGTAGGCATACCTTACAGTGAGTTACCTTTTTACTCCAGCCATGAGGCTGGTTCTTGTGAACAATGCCTCAAATGGCAGATTGCCTTTAAATTGGTGAGCAGAGATTATCCTTCAAGGAAAGAAGTCCCTGAAAGTGGAAAAGAGACTGACCGGAAGTGACGTCATTGTGACTTCATCAGGTGTACTGTTCACTGGAAGTGACGCAGTAAACGTCCACCTATGTAATTGTGGCAGCAAGATTCCAAATGTCACAACCGAATACGAGTCTATTTAACAGTTAATGTTTAGTCACTGTCGTTTATGGGTGTCCTCCTTACTTGTTAAGGGCCTCACCAAACCCGATGTGAGATACAGCAATATAAGGGTAATGCTATTTTTGAGGCCATTATCATTTGCAGAAGCCCGAGGTCTTCCATTAACTGAAAAAGACCGAGGGCTTCTGCAAATGATAATGCCCTCAAAAATAACATTACCGTTATTATTGCTAAAATACATGGAATTTGTGTTGAAAGAAAAGGAAACAATGAAGAAATTTGACTGTAAGTTTACCCAAATCAACTTCTGACGGGGTTGACTGCCCGAATGCAATTACGTCATCGAACAATTCAAGTGACGTCACAACAGAAAGTGACGATATTCGACCTTGACCTTTGACAATACCATAGCCTACAACATGTCAAACTCTGTCAGTATTCGATTTTGGTCCATCAACAGACTTAATAGTGCAATTGTTAAGGTTAGCACCAACAAGAAAGCCAATATTACCGCTATTTAAAGCGGGAATTCGGCCAGTTGTCGAGTGAACCGTTGACTATGTTTGACCAGAATATCTGCCAGTCGAAAGCCAGATAATTAATGATAATTCCCGAATGAACCGTAAGCCCATGCACCTGAACCACTATGACGTCATTTGACAGGGACCAAGAACTGATAGTCAGCCAGTCGTCAAAACATAGGTTGATCGGTCAGGGTTTAACAATATCATGGATTGCAGCGGCCACTTGTTGAGCGGTATAATTTTTCCTGGTGATAATACAGTTTGGAGGGCCGTTTGCCAATGCGAATAAAATTGCCATGTAACTTTTAGCTACTAGTATTTGGCAGGTCATGGGAAATGAAGTAGCCTAGTGGTTTTCACGGCGAAGACCCAGGTTCTTGCCAACGTTGGTACTTGAAGCCTATTTCCAGGGTGATATTGTTGAAATATTGTTCACAAAGGATAATGATAATCCACCTGAAGAAGGGCAAGAACTAGCCCAGGAACGTTGTGAAAATTAAATCAAGTAGTTGTTATCCATAAGATTTGTCTTGTGTTACTACACCAACTTCTAAATGCCTTTGAAGAATATAATACAGCTCGTCACGGCGAAGACCCAGGTTCGGTTCCCAACGTTGGTACAATGTGTGAAGCCTATTTCTTTTGTTTCCAGGGGTGATATTGCTGAAATATTGTTAAAAGCCGCGATAGAAATGGCGTTTCATTGTTTCATATAAATGTGTGTAAGTTTATTTTATTCAATTTATAGCCTTTCCAAATATTACAATTACATTTGATCATTTATATCACAGGTTTATGAGAGCACTTTGCTAGCTAAAGCACTATGAAAGTACACGCACGCACGCACGCACGCACGCACGCGCGCACGCGCGCGCACACATCCATGCATTCCAGAATGAAATATTTTATGATACATGTGACATTAATATCATTCACAATAATGACCCTTCTACTGAGTCATTTAATACTTTTGAGAGACGATAAATGCTTATGCTAAACGAAGTGAGGGACAAATATATACTGCCTTGTGGAACCCCTGATGCTGATTAGATTAACCAGGTGTATATATGTGGGCGATCCATCGTTAAATATGCATACATTATTATTTGAAATGAAGTCGTCAATCATTTCTTTGCTGGTATCTGTACTACCCGTGAGGATCCAAGTTAGAACTGACCTTCAGTGTCCCATGCTTGTCGTAAGAGGCGACTAACGGGATCGGGCAGTCAGGCTTGCTGACTTGGTTGACACATTTCATTGTATCACATTTGCGTAGATCGATGTTGTTGATCACTAGATCGTCTGGTCCAGACTTGATTATTTACACATCGCCGCAATATACAGAACAAACACGGAGAAGGGAGGTCAGTGATCCGCTGGTTGGATATGCAATACAAGCCATGAGGCCAGTGAGGTGGTGATTAGCTTTGGTGATAAACATAGGCGATGCAGACAGGGTGCTGTTGGCTGTTGACTTATGACACACCTGCTACAACATCTCAACGCCCAACATCCTAGAATCAAGTTCACGTTGGAAACGGAGACCGACCACCAACTCCCTATCCTTGATGTCTCCCTGCAAGCCACAGACCATGGACTCACGATGGTCGCTCGGCACGCTGAAGACCCGGGTTCGATTCCCAAAGTGGGTACAGTATGGGAAGCCCATTTCTTGCGTCCCCGCCGCGATGGATTTGGTGGTCAAAGATGGAGATTGGGTGGTTGGGTGTGGATTGGGTGGTCAGTTATGGAGACGTGTGAAGTGGGTTATCAGACTACAAACTGGGAGGTCAGGCTTATGGACTGAGTGGTCAGGCTTATGGATTGGGTGGTCGGGCTTATGAATTGGGTGGTCAGGCTTATGGATTGGGTGGTCAGGCTTATGGAATTGGGTGGTCAGGCTTATGGTCTGGGTTGTCAGTGGCCTAGAAAAATGTGAAAAAATCTTCATAGAGTGAATTCTATCTAATTGGCTTTGTGATTATATAGCTATCTTTGTACATTCTCCCACCTTGTATTTTGAAAACATGTTTTACAAACAGAGTGCAGTCGATCCGGACATTTAGTATTTGTAATATTATCATGGGAAAGGTTTTGTCGCCTTTGTTAACTGCTGAACATGAGAGATACGTTTTTATTCTAATTTTTGCCATGAGGGAATAAAATTATGTAATTATAAAAATGTTCATGGCCAACCGATCGTGTAGCATATAAATTATTTGATCTTGATGTCCAGTACAGACATCTTTAGGTGATACTCATTTATATGCAATCCTGTTCATTACGATTCAACTTCATGAACATGAAAAGCGACACAAACATTTCATGTTTATGGAAAGATCTTATCTTCGTTTACAAAGCACAAATGCTCGCATCTCGTATACTTAGATATGATAGGGGCGGTTGGGTCGCCAGCCTAGTTGTGAAAGCGTTCTGAGAAATCTGAACGTTCACAACGGATGGAGAAGTCTGCTCACACACACAAATCATGTGTTGACAGTAAAACGCTGACTATAATGCCGTCCGTTTAGTAAGCTGAAATGTTCATAGTTTCATTCGGATATGAGGTGTCTTCCCATTCTGCCTACAGTCCCATTCTGTAGTGCGAAACGAGGGTTGTGGAAGCCTGAAACGATATCTTACTTGTGTTCAGATCGTGACAAATATAACCCATTTAGCACGAACTGCGGGGTCCTGTGGAAATCTGTGCATGGTGACGCCATCGCCCGACATCGGGGAGCAATTGACGACAACGCTACGATTCGGCATGTCTTCGTCGAAAAATTTTGACACTTTTGGCTTGTTTTTGTTAGGGCGACAACGTGACAATGTCCTTTCCAGGAGTCCACATTAACCCGACCAATGAGATACAATTTCCGTCTCACTCTGAACATATCTTGAAACAATTAAGTCTTTTAAATAAATGAAGATTTAAAGAAATTCATTTTATAACAACAACATCAGGGAATATAATTAAGTAATGTAAGTTAATTAGGTGTTTCCCCACCCTTGTTATTGTTATCTCTTTATCGTATCTTGTATATAAACTGGTGTACCCCATCATTCCCCAATATGCTTGAAAACGGTATAAGAATCTATACCGAAACGTCGCCATTGTTAACATAAAGAAGTTGATCATCCATAAAGTTGTGTCATCTCGACATAATTAGTTGTACATGTATTAGCAAATAGTACTGTGTATTGCTGGTCAGTCATATTTTTAGGCTGAAGGAAATATGATATACAAAAATATAATTGAACTGGTTAACTTAATTGTTTTTAGACATAATCAGATTCCTAAATTCTGCTCCACCCCCACCTCACTCTATACCTAATGTATAATGCCATACTATTTATTTTACAGTAACGCTCATTATTTTGTAAACCTGGTTTATTATAGTATCCCTTCCATAAAACACTTACCTTAAGTACATATGCTCTTTACAGATGTATTTAAATTCCTTACACATTTATAAATTTATGAGCCTTAAGCACTGTATTCATTACAATGAACTTCAGCTCGGAGAACTGCAATAATGCAGGAAGCATAGAAGGAATAAACAACATGCAATTACTTTGCATACAACTCGGTTAAACATTTCATTTTGCGAAATGTTGCATATATCTTTCTTCTTCATATTGCAACCACATTAGGTCAAATACTGAGTATTTTTTGTAGTTGGAAAATCGCCTTTGAAAGGATGCACCAATTAATTTGAAACAAAATGCTGAGTCATCGCTTCATCACATCCGAGTGGGCTATGGACACAGTTTGGTTTGTTGTTTTACGCCAGCTATGTGTCGGCTACCTGTAAACAATCGAGTCTGGACCAGACAATCCAGTGATCAACAGCATGGGCATGGATCCACGCATTTGGGTTACAATGACATGTGTCAACCAAGTCAGCGAGCCTGACCACTCGATCCCGTTAGTCGCCTTTTACGACAAGCATGGGTTGCAGAGGATCAACACTTAGCCGGATCTTCGCGAGTCCACAGCTTTGATTTGTAAGACTAAATGTTTTAGGTTCAAAAAGACAGTTATACCTCAGAATACATTTTCAAACCTTTTGACTTTCATCGATACAAAAATCCCCCTTGCTCCTAGACTCTATATTATTAGTGTTGATTAACTATAAAGTCTTTGTTGTATGTTGGTTTCACGCTGAGTTATTTGGCAGAGAGGTTTCAGGATTAGTCACCGAGCCTGAACAAAAGACCCATTTAGTCAACAAGAACAGGTATACGTTGCTCGGAAATCCCAGGACACATGTTTGTGCAGATGTGTGAACCATGCATCCGAATATTTCAAAGACGCCCACAGCTGGTTGTAAACATATTTCTATCAAGGTTAGTAAACAAACTGCGACCCTGTTTCGAGTTGGGCAATGTATGGGATCCTAAAAGGGACATTGTCACGTTGTCGTGCTTTGTTAATTATTGATTTTATGTAGTAATTACTTCAAGCGTGACAATGTGGCGGCGCGACAATGTGACATTTTGGTGAAATGTTGTGGATATCGCTTTGTCGCATTAAGTGAGTGAGTATGGTTTTACGCCGTTTTTAGCAATGTTACAGCAATATCACAACGGGGAAAACAAGAGATAGGCTTCACATAGTGTACCCATGTGGGGAATCGAACCTGGGTTTTCGACGTGGCGAACGAACGCTTTAACCACTAGGCTACCACACCGCTCTTGTCGCATTAACGTGCTTGGACAAAACGAAGGGAATGCGTGCTCATTACGAAAGTTTGATTGGTTAAATGGGAACTGCAAAAAAAAAGAAAAGAAAAAACCCTATTTGGATCAAATTGGTCTTTGTTATTTTTGAATAAGAGAAACAGTAATAAATCCAGTGTCAATTTCATGGGCTTTCCCTGAAACGGCTTAACCCCTGACCGGAGACCTTTGGAATACAGGTTGAATATGGGTATGTATACTGGATCAGTTTGATAAACATATTTTGATCTTAAACACGTGTATGTTAAGTGAAAAATGAATGTTATTGTTATTTTAATAATATACTCGAAGATTGCTTGGAAAATCCTTTTTAAAATGTAATGCGTCACACCGAGTGCATTAAATTTCTGTTAAAACAGGCAACTAAATGTTTGTGCTATACAATGCCAACAAACAATGTGTGACCCACAATCAATCAGACCACCTGTTAAGTGAGTGAGTGCGTGAGTTTAGTTTTACGCCACACTCAGCATTATTCCAGCTATATGATGGCAGCCTGTAAATAATCGAGTCTGGACCAGACAATCCAGACTGAGTGATCAACAGCATGAGCATCGATCTACGCAAATGAGATACGAAGACATGTGTCAACCAAGTCAACGAGCCTGAACACCCGATACATTTGTCGCCTTTTACGACAAGGATTGGGGGTCTGAGGATCACTCGTAAAATTGGGAATTCTTGACCAAACCTGAAACGTCGAAAAATCACGAGCAGAAATCCATTGTCCAACTTGGGAGAAAGGCAGAACATATCCAGGATATGATCATGAGGTAATACATGTAATAACTCGCCGCCCTTATATACACAAGAACAAGATACCAGAAAGTTCTGCACTAATACAGATGATCTTTATGTCTAAATATATATCACACCACTACCCCCTAACTGAATTGGGGCGGTGGGGTAGCCTAATGGTTAAGTGTTTGCTCGTCACGTCGAAGACCCGGGTTCGATTCCCTACATGGGTACAATGCTTGAAGCCCATTTCTAATGTCCCCCGCCGTGATATTGCTGGAATATTGCTAAAAGCGGCGTAACACTAATATCACTCACTCACTCACTCACTCACCCTAACTGAAACTACAGGTACAATCATAAGAGTTAAAGCATTGTTGCGCAACGTATAACACAGCATCTCAACAATTAACACTGGCATGTCCTTTAAGTGCGATGCTATGGCAAGCAGTTTTCACATTTAATGAGAAATTAAAGATATCTTCAATTGTTTTAAAGATATATGCATTCTGTTTAAAGATATCAATAATGTTTTTAAGATATCGTTAAATAATTGAAGATATCTTTATTTAATTTCTGATATCCAAAACAGAATTACTGATATCGTAAAATGTTATTCAGATATCAAGAAAATATTTTGTGTTGTCTCTAAATGTGTTTCATTTATCAATAAAACAATTCAATTCAAGATATCTTGAAATAATATAAATATCTTCATTTCTGGCTTTACTGATATCTTTAGTCAACTTAAAGATATCAGTAATAATTTTGAAGATATCTATATATCAGTTATTAATATCTAAAATACAAATTTCAGGAAAGGAACTATCTCAATTTAAGGTATCTTTAATTCATTCCAAGATGTATCCAATTCAATTAACGATATCTTCATTTCAATTTAAGACATCTTTAAACAATTCAAGAAATCAGTTATTTCTCAATACACAGTCTCTGTTTGAGATATCATTAATTTCATGACATTTCAAGTTTACCTCAAGATATCAGCAAATCTTTTCAAGATATCATTGATATGCTTCATCATATCCCTAATTCACTTTGCGATGTAATGAATTCTATTGCAGATATGCAGTGTCCGAAATAGTTTCCAAATTTTGCAAAGCAGACTGTCTAGCTATGCCTGAAAGTTACTTGCCCACAAAATTATTTTCTGGCCCGAAATTTGAATGCAGACACGGGTTTCACCAGTAAGCTGCTAATATAATGCACATTTGTATCAGGCCATAATCTTGCATGATTTAAAAGTGTATTATAACTAAACAAGTCGGAGAGAGTGATATACATGCATTTACAAAATGACCCCTTGAAAATTCACTAGCCAGTCGGGCCAGTGGCTGTGGAGATTTAATGGCCCGACTGGATTTTTACTAGCCACTGGCTAGCAGGCCAGGTGTGAGGGAACACGCCATAAATGGCTAGTGTGGCCACCCTACACGCCAACACACGTCCCTTCATTGGCGTCGTCAGTCAACGGATGACGTCAGCAGGCATCATGTTCTATAAGTCCAATAGAGTCTGTTCAAGTTCCTGTCGGTTCGCTGGAGGCGGTACACGCTGCCTCAGATGACGATCAACATGATCCCAGGTATATCCAATGGGGTTCATGTCTGGAGAACGCTCTAGCCAAGGAAATTCGTTGAGGTTAACGTTGTGCAGGTATCCTCGAACAATTCTGGCGGTGTGACGCCTTGTGTTGTTGTGCTGCAAAATGACCCCTCTTGGCTGTTGTCGAATAAAGGGCATCACAAAAAGGTCTCAACGCTTCATTCCTGAATTGACCATGCCCAGTCATTCAGATTTTCGCAGACTTTGGGGCAGCTGCGTTGTTAAAGGGACCATGTTGCGTTTTGGGGAATGTTTTCTGCTTGGGTTCAAACCTGCACCAGCGTTGTTTTTTTTAATAAAATTACTTTAAAAGTGATGTTTCTTTTGCCCGGTAGTTTATATGTCACTGAATGCAGAACTATGACAATACACAGATAAACTGTGTTTAATAACCTAGTGTGCCATCAAAAAAAGTTACAACATAGCAGTCTCTTCACATTATATATGTTTTAGCACTCTTTTACTGTGCAAGTTGTCAGTGTTAACACTCAGTCATTAACAGATGTAGGCGATCTAACTAAACGTATGTCGTATAGTTCATGAGCAGTGTTGTGTGTAAAATGCAAACACAACATATTTAAACATTAGCACAATTGGCTCAGTTAACATGAAAGTTGGTTTTGTGTGTGAACATACTAAATAAGAGATTGGTTAGGCTGGAATCTGAAAGATATTTTACTACTGTTTTTGGACAGCTGCGTTGTTATCGGGACCATGCTGAGTTTTGGTGAATGTTTTCTGTTTGGGTCAAAACCTGTACCGGCGGTTCTTTTGTTTTTTTTATACAATTACTTTAAAAGTGATAAGTTTCTTTTGCCCGGTAGATTATATGTCACTGAACAGCAGAACTATGACAATAAACATACAAATTGTGTATGATAACCGAGTGTACCATAAAAAATAGTTACAACATTGCGTCCATAATCCTATTACCTAGAAGGCTTTTCACATTATATATCTTTTCGCATTCTCTTACAATGCAAATTATTAGTGTTAACACTTAGTCATTAACAGCTGTAGGCGATCTAACTAAATGTATGTCGTTGTTTCAGTGTATGTATCTTGGTTCCTCTAACCCAATATATCCAGAAGTAATATATTACAAAGATGTGCCATGACAACAGAACGAAGCTTCTCATTGGCTGAAATGTAGATATTGTCTGATATTGCTCAGTGCGTATGTCTTGTGGAACTCTGTGTACAGAACCATACTTTAAGAGAGCCTGAGTTACCATGACAATTGGCTCAGTTAACATGAAAGTTGGTATTGTGTTTGAACATACTAAACAAGAGGTTGGTTAGGCTGGAATCTGAAAGATATTTTACTACTGATAGTGAAACCCAAATAGGTTCCAATGTTCTTATCCATCATTTGATAATATTTGCAAATGATACACAACCTGACTCATGAGATTTAACTAATGAAAACCTTGCCCTATATTTGCATGCATTAAACCTCGTACATGTCTATCAATACCCTAGAGCCGTTCTGGAAATCCGTTGTCCAACACGACATTGACATCCCCACGAGAGGGTTTGAGGAAGGGTTACTCTGGTGCTCACTCCATGTATATTGGACTCCACGTGCCATTCACCTTCTTGAGTTTGTTTTTAACTCAGTTTCGAGAAAGAATATGTTTAATCAAGAATGGCATTCAGTAATACATAATAGTTCACGGTACGACTCTTATAGAATATACAAATCACTACTCCAGCCGGAGAAATATCTGTCGTTTTTAACATCAAAGAAATTAAGGTATCCATTTATACGTTTTAGGTTAGGTTTGATCAACATAATGGTAAACGAAGGAAGACGTTTTTATATTGAACGATGCAAGAGAATGTGCCCATTGTGTAATATAGATGTGGAAAATGAAATCCATTTTTTTGCTTGTATGTCCTTTGTATAAAGATTTGCGTACGAAATATATAGCTGAATATTATCTACGTAAGCCACCTACATTAGCATTTAAACTACTTCTTACATCAACTGACCAGCATGTAATAATAAAGCTGTCGTACTATATCAATTATGCTCTTATTAAACGTAACAATCTGATAAAAAAGTGTTGTATGTCCATCTTATTTCACTACTTGTACATCATTTACTGCCTGTATCATGATTTGCTGTTTGGATCACTAATTACTACTTATTGCACCATATGTTTAATGTATATGTATAACTCCAATGTATATGGGCCGGAGGCCTTTTGTACAATAAACATCTTTGACTTGACTTGACATGTGGTAATTATATTATGTTTCTTTTCCAGGTTTAAAAGTTCCAGATATCTGCAGCAACATGGTATGGTTGAATCCCTAATCTTAAACTAGCAACATCTACTGTATTGCTACAAAAACGTTCAATTGTCCATTTTATTATATTTTTTCTCAGTATTTCCTATTCCTCCTCGCGACAGCCCAAAGTTCTGACATAAAATAGTAAAACGTTTTCTGATCTCAATTGGCCCCTCCACTGTGGAATTGAATGCGTGATGCGATAAAAAATAGTACACTCTTACCCTTGCATACAACAGAAATATCAAATTTATCTTTCTTCATCTACATATATTAAACACTGTTTCGGAGGCAAAGAGACACGGTATACGTAATAAATTAATTCAAACATTGAATATAAAGTAAGGTACAGCATTAGTGCTAAACAGTTTGTATTATTTATCACTTATATATTTTCTTGGCCCGTCCGCTCTCTTGTTTTTTCAAGTTGGAAATGAAAAACACAAGAATACAGATGGTCTTGCTCATGTAATCACCCTACAGCTTATCAAGAGCGGGGTTTACAGACATGTTGTTTAGCAGTAAGGTGGCAGTTTTCAGCGTTAACACACTGAATGAAAATAGGTGTTGTTGCTTTTATTCATTTGAGTGAGTGTGTATTTATACGCTGCTTTTATAATGACATAAAAATATTACCGCATGGGACACCAGAAATGGGCTTCAAACTTTGTACCGGGTGGGGAATCGAACCGGGTCTTCGGAGTGACGAGCGGACGCTTTAACCATTAGACTACCCCGCGCCCCTTAAGATATTAGTCTGTGAAAACCATCTGCTTTTTGTGTAATTTGGAAAACAAAGCAGGCAACAGAAAAGACTAAATGTAATTGCTCCTAACTGTAGCTACAGATGATGAGCTCGGTAATGTCTGGAGGAAGGATTCAGAATACATCTTTTTGATTCACATTTCAGAAACTGATGAATAATAACAACTTATACCGAAACGTCGAATCATAATGTAATAAAGAAGTTGTCATCCTTAACGTATCTTACCTTTCTTATATTCAGAATACGTGTTGGTAAATAGTCGAAGCTATGTCACAACAAAAGGTAAATACCCGAATCTGGACCCGGAAATCCAGTGACGTAATGATGTATGGACATATTTCTAACTGGCAATGGCGACGTTTTGATCTATCTATACCTGTTTTATCATTTCAGAGCATTCAACCACAAATAAACGTTATCTTGTACAGCAATGCCAACCTCACTGGCGACTGTTTACCAGTATCTAAAGACATAGCGGATTTGAACATCTTCAAGAACAGGGCTCAGTCAGCCATTGTAGTCCATGGAAGGTAAGTATATATTTATATATATTATCACACAAAGTAACCCATAATGTCCCACAATATATACTGACCATCAGTTGGATGTGGCCGATGAGTGATGCTACTGCCTTCTACACCAACAGAAACAGGAGCTAGGTTAAGTATAGGGCAAGTATTGAACCCGGACATAGCCCGTAGTGGTGGTTACCCTGTGTGGCACTTGAGTCTGTCACACATAACTGATTACAAGTGCCACACAGGGAAATTGTGTGGAGGGCATGTACCACACAGGGACAATTTCTTTTAGAGGCATTTTAAAAGTTGTATAGATGAAGGAAAAACAAGTTCTATGGATAGTCAACTTCTTTATTGCAATGAGTGCGATGTTTCGGTGTAGGTACTAGCACCGTTATCAAGCAAGTGGTTTTCCTTCACACAGGGACAGCTCACTATTTCAGTTAATTAGCTGTAGTGAGGTGTGAACTCATGTGTGGAGTACAGCATGTGTGAGAAAGACATTCAGTCATACCTGAACAATATTTCATTTTCCAATATTTACATTTTGAACAATATTTCTCAAGTTATTTAATGAGTAAACTTCAGTATTTTTTGTTTATATGGTATTCAAACTCAGTTGAGATTGATAGATGTTTATCAATGTAATGTAGTAAATGCATGAACATTGTTCTGTTTCTCGTCTTTATAAATACTTACGTGAATAGTACTAAATCATTGGTGTTATTGCTATCTAATAAGGTTAATCAAAGGTGTTAATGATTTAGCCCTGATCAATGAGTTACGCCTTGCTGCACACATGCGCCATAGATGGACATAACAAACAATCAAGTGCCACACAGGTAATCTTCACCCAGATGAATTAATTTGCCGACTGTTCATCAAGGAAGCAAAATGATGTTCTGAAGTTTTCTACCGTTTTAATTTCTTCTAGTTGGCAGCTAGCAAGCGCTTCGGGACACACATATTCTCTTTCGGAGGGTACCGGAACATATTCTGACCTTGGTACTTTCAAACAAAAGGCCGTCTCCATCACCCGAGTATAAGGTATATATATTTTCTTCTATAAAAAAAGCTTACAGCAGGGTGTAGATTTCGAAACTCTCTTAGCGCTAAGATAGTCGTAAGTGCCATACATTAACATTAAATTACGACTACCTTAGCGGTAAGAGAGCTTCGAAAATCTAGGCCCTGAAGGTTATATTGATATAATCAATCCAAACGCTTATTCACTGGGTGTCCGATGTTTATTTTGCAGGCGCCGTTGCCATGAAGGAGACCCTCCCGACAAAGGGACATACCAGCCACCTGCATTTCTGCATTTTCCTCTGCACTTTCCTGTACTCTTGATGTTCCTTTACTCCAGATTATTATGCTTTTAATGTCTAATGTTTAGCTATGCTTAAGTGGGTTTGCTTAAGGTGGGGATAGGAATCGACGTAGGTTGTAAGTGTGTGGTTATTACAGTGTTCAGAGACAAATGGGTTTACTCTCACTGCCTCTTGGTACAGTTCAAGTCAAAATCACGAATGGTCATAATATCTACAGATAAACTAACTCGACAGAGCAATTACATCATCTTAATCCAACAATTTTGGCTTTAATTTTACAGTAAAATGATTATAAATAAATACGATGCAGAAAATTATTGCTCATTTCTATTCTGAAGTTCTTGGTGTAACATTAACTTTACCACCTGTGCAATTGCTTCACAAAAGCTATGTTCATTCTGAACAATGAATGCTAACAGGATGAAGGTCACATTGTTGACATTATGCCTCAAGTTGGAGTAGCTGTAATGATATTTGAAATGTATCAGGCTAGATAAGGAGCAGTCCGCTTTTAACTCGCTTCATATTTTATGATGAATTTTCTGCCCTGAGTTTTGTCCAAGTACGTAGCTTGGCGTATAATTATGTTATTTGACTCTATATAGAGTCAGTAAGGAATGGGAAAAAAACCGAGACAAACTGTGACTCCTTTCGTTGTTGAAAATAAACATTTGATGAAATTGAACGTTTCTTGTGTGTTTGTATATGTGCACATGAAGTATGACGGTGTCTTTGTCTGTTACAAATGAACACAAATCTGGGACTTCCAACTACGTGTGTGTCATTGTTTGTTTTTTTGTTCAACACCGCACTCAGCAATATGCCATCCACATTGCGGCTGTCAGTAAGTACTTGAGTCATGACCAGACAATGCAATGATCAACATCATGAGCGCTATCCACGCATTTGGAATACGATGACATGCGTCAACCAAGTCAGCGAGCCTGACCACCCGATTCCGTTAGTCGCCCCTATTACAAAAAGCATGGGTTGGTGAAGACCAATTCTAACCCGGATCTTCTCCGTTTAAAGGTACACAACTCTAGAGCTGGTACAATTAACAACTATGTGACTAATGTCGTTCCACCAGATGAGTGATAACAAGACTACAGACTGGCGACATCTTATTCATTTTACGAAATGACCGAAATTTTTAGTCATTTCACGAAATGAGTGATTTCACAATCTGTCTGTAACATATGCGTCTGTGGATAAACTTTATGTTATAATGATGTGTGGTCTTGTGTATGTAGGTGTTTGGTCTGACCTTAGGCAAGTGTGTTTGGTCAAAATTGCTGCTATTCTCCCAGCAGAAAACGTCATATGACTATTAACCTTCTAGCGCCTCATAAGCAGTTTTTTTTTTCGGGGTAATAATGTCCATTATACTTACACCAGCCCCGTGCAGTGTGGATTTCAGTGCTATTTTGGCCTTGTTATTTCCCACCACTTTACGTCCAATTGTAATAAATATAATGAGACTTTCTAACACCTACTCAGTGCACGCCCAGCAATACCACAAACACAGTATCTTAACACGATGGGGTGGGTCGTCCTTTTCTACCCACCTTCGCCATGTTTGTGGTTGTGACTCAGTTGTCTGTGTCGTCATGGAAAAATGACAATTACAAAGTTCTCAAAACCAACAAACCCAACCTTTTTACTATACCAATAGAAACTATTTACATCATGGCAAATATGCGGGCCTCCCTTTGAAATGCCTCGCTTGCATCTTAAGTTCCAAGTTATTATTATAGGATATCTACATAGCGCACATATCCAGGCAACTAGTGCATGCTAAAAAGGCGCTGGTACTTTTTCCCCTCGAACATTTGATGTCATCTAAACGGCACATCGTATTATCAATCTCAACTCCCTGGGGAGTATACAACTCTTGCAGCCAATAGGCGCACCGAGTTATTGTGGCTTTCTCATCCTAACGATGTCCAACTCCTCGATGTTCTTGGTGCCATAGGTTTGGTACCACCTAATCTCTTGACTGAAATTGGGAGAGTATTCGGATTTGCTGTCAAGGAGACAGGCCTTCTGGCACTCTAGTTAATGCATAAGGCTGCAGACCTTTACATCCCCCGAAAGGTTTTTGGTGGGTTTGGCTAGGCAGCGCTTCCCGGGAGAAGTCCCATAAGGCGTCTGGGCTGCATGCTATCAGGAACACAGCCCTTCTGACACTCTAGGTAATGCGTAAGGCTGCAGTCTTTGTGGAGTCTTCACTTCCTCCGAAATGAGGTTCGACATTCGGTTTGTAGACAGTTCCTCGGGCAGAGGGATGGACTTATATAAATTCCCGTCCCGTACTTAACTAACGAGCAACAGAAACGATATCAAAATATATTTTGATAATTCGAACTCAAATTTTGTAGGTAGTTATGAGCTTAAAACACGAAAATCTTTCGTGAACGGACGTGCATCTTTGGGTTATGAGCATGCACGCAAACCTTCCTCGACATCAGACCTTCAAGTCAACTTTAGCGACCATGCCCTGATTATCGCAGTAATCCAGAGATCGAGCCATTGGAATGGTACAGATGGGGCCTTGTGCTGTCATCACGAGGCTGATCACCCGCTACAGGCAAACAGGACGGACAGTAGACAGGCCCATAAGTGTAGGACCTCGTGTCACCCACACCCCCACCCCACCCCCACCCCAACGAAGACTGCTACTTACGTATCCTGCATCTGAGAAACCGTTTCCTACCTGTGACGTCATCAGCAGCGAATGGGCTTCGACATCCTATCAGTCGACGAATAGCAGCTTGACGACTCCGACAATACGGTATCTGTGCCTACAGATCCTACCGTGGTGTACGGCTGACGCTTCAACATCGACGTCAACGTTTTCGATGGGCACACATAGTTCGCCAGTATCAAAACAGACAGTGACAGGGAGTGATGTTCTCAGGCGAAAGGAACATCGTCCCCCAGCTGTTCGGGAATGATTGCAGGGCTGGTGTCTACAGACTCCGTGGAGAAAGTTTTCTGTGTATAGGAAGTGGAACCGTTTGATGGCAGCGGTGTCGTGGTTAGGGGCTGCATATGTGACGATATGAAGGCAGATCTTGTTGTGGTGGATGGTAATCTCACTGCTCAACGATACATTGATCAAATTCCGCGTCCGGTTGTGCTACAATTCCTACGTCAACGCCGTAACCGGATCATGTTCCAGCAGGACAACGCCCGTCCCCATACAGCACGTATTGTCATGGATTTTCTACAGAGAAACAACGTCAACGTACTTCCTTGGCCCCCAGGTCACCTGACATGTCACCAATTAAACACCTGTGGGACCATATGGATTCGTGCTATAACCGTTGTTCCTGGAAACCGACGCCAGCTTGCCCAAGCCCTTCAAGTGGAATGGCGAAGGATCCTTGCCCAAGGTGTACGACTTCTGACGTTCTCAGCACGTCGTAGAGTTAGGGCTTGCATTGATGCCCACGGTGGGCATACCAGACACTGCCCACGTGTGTTGTTTTGTTTACATCTGTGATCGAATACTGGACACTTCATTCCTTCATTTTTACAGTAACTCAATGGACTTTTATTATTGCTACTCCGATGTTGCCCACCCACCTGTTATTAAAATTCACTGTCCTTTTTCACAATGGTGGTTTGTCGTTTTGTAATGACAGTGATTTCGACTTGATATCGTTTCTTTTGCCCGTTAGTTTATATTCTATATCAAGCATCCTTTGCCTGGGATATTCTTTAGAAGGTTCCCTAGTCCGTGTTTTCAAAAAACTTCCCTGGGATATAGTATGGAAAGTTCACCTGTTCCAGGCATGTTCTATAAAAAAGTTCTCCTAGAATGTTTCATTATGCGAGGCATATTCAATAGATAGTTCCTATGTCCAAGGGATATTCTATAAAAAGTTGCCCAGTTTTAGGGTGTTCTTATAAAGGTTCCTTGTCTCCTGGATATTCTACAGAAACTTCATCTGTTCCTGTGATATGCTATGGCAAAGGTCCTTTTCCCAGAAATAATCTGCAGGAAATGTCTATGATAAGCACGGTAGTTTTTGGTAGACATTGTAAACCAGAATTAAGCAATGACCAAGCTTGTAGTTCTATTTTAATGCAAAGTTCCCCTTTATTGTAAATATTGTTTACAGGTATAAATATGATTTATATTTGGACACACTCCACACCTATAAGATCTGAGTTAACGTAATGCTGTTTCAGTGCATTCAGCAGTATAACCTCTCAGCTGGGACTTTCTCCAAATTATTCCCCTGTGTCAGTGATATTCAATTAAAACAAAGATTTTCTACAGACAGTACCTCCAGCCCAAGGGTATGGATACCCATGTCTTATTTCTAGAATATGCCCTCTTACCATCCGGCCGGCGATACTCAGTGCCACGTTTTAAAATTAATAGATTTAAAAACTCTTTTGTACCATCTAGTATTAGACTCCTAAATAATTGTTAGATTTTGTTTTACCTCAGCGAACTGTATGTTCTATGTACATGTATGTGTTATGTCTGTCTTATGTCTTATATTGCTATACGTGTCATGCATCGTATATTATTCTATACTTTCAAATGTAAAAAGAATTCCCTCCTGTGGGTAATAAAGTATTATTGTCATTGTCATTCTATAAAGAGTACCTCGCTTGAGACATTTTTATATTTGAGTACAATCCACATACATGAATGTGATATATGATGAAAAGTCAATCCACAAAAGTACTCTGTATGTTTCAGTGGAAGAAACTTGCACTCTTTGTATTTCCTACTGAGAGAAGATTTCAAAGTCTCTTTCTCAAACGCTTCTAAGCCAGGAAGATAAATATTTTACGTCTGTTTCAAAGATGCACGGAAATTGTCCGGTCCCGACACAAATATTTACTGACTGCCATAATAAGGAGGGAATATTGCTGAGCGCGGCTTAAAATGACACACAAACAATGACATACACGTAGCTGGAAATCCAAGATTTGTGTTTATTTGCAACAGACAAAGACACGGTCATACCTCATGTGCACGAATACAAACACGCAAGAAATGTAAAAATTTCATCAAATGTTTATTTTCAACAACGAAAGGAATCACAATTTTCCCCACTTTTGTCTATTATTTCTTTACTCTGTATAGTGTCAAATAACATAATGTACAACACTGAGGGCAGAAAATTCATCATCAAAAGAGTAGCGAGCGCTTGAAAATTGACTGTTCCTAATTTTGCTCTACGCATGTTCAAATATCAATACAACTTCTTCAATTTAAGACTTAATTTCAACAACGCAATGTGACCTTCATCTTTTTAGCTTTCATTGTTCAAAACGAATCATAGTATATGTGAAGCAAAGCGCACAGGTGGAAAAGTTAACGTTACACCGAGCACTACAGAATAGAAAGGAGCAATAATTTTCTGCATCGTTTTTTAATAATCATTTTACTGTGAAATTAAAGACATCATTGTTGGGATTGAGATGATGTAATTGCTCTGTCGAGTTTATCTGTAGGTAGTATGACCATTCGTGATTTTGACTTACAAAACTGTCCAAAAGAGGCAGTGAGAGTACACCCTGTGTCTCTGAACACTGTAATAACCACACACTTACAACCTACGTCGATTCCTATCCCCACCTCAAGCAAACCCACTTAAGCATAGCTAAACGTTAGACATTAAAAGCATAATAATCTGGAGTAAAGGAAAATTAAGAGTACAGGAAAGTGCAGAAATGCAGGTGGCTGGTATGTCCTTTTGTCGGGAGGGTCTCCTTCATGTCAACGGCGCCTGCAAAATAAACATCGGACACCCAGTGAATCAGCGACTGGATTCATGTATCAGTATATGGACCGTATTGAAGCAAGAACATATGTCTAGATTATGGTTGAAGGCAGTAAATTGTACACAGTTCCAGTTTCATGGACCTAGACAAAGGCACGTTTTGTAAATCAAAGCGATATAACCTTCTGCTTTGCGCTTTTGTTATAGAAAAAAATACATATATACCTTATACACGGGTGATGGACATGGCCTGTTGTTTGAAAGTACCTAAGTCAGTATACTTTCCGACTGTCTCGACAAGAGGGTATGTATTCCCCGCAGCGCTTTTCAGCTCCCATCTGGAAGAATTTAAAACGGTAGAAAACTTCAGAACATCTTAATGTGAAAGAGTTTCAACGATGAGCATTCAATACACTACAGGTTATGTCCGGGTTCATTATTTGCCCTATAATCACCTAGCCCAGCGATGTTCTGATTCTGTTTGTGTACCTTGCAGTAGCATCACTCATTAGCCACATCCAACTGATGGTCAGAATATATCGTGGGACATTATGGGTTAATTTGTGTGATATATATATATATACTTACCTTCCATGGATTACAATGGCTGACTGAGCCCTGTTCTTAAAGATTGTCAAATCGGGTATGTCTGCAGAGACTGGTACACAGTCGCCAGTGAGGTTGGTATTGCTGTACAAGACAACTTTTATTTCTGGTTGAACGCTCTGAAATGAGAAAGCAGGTATCGATAGACATCGCTATTGTCAAGTACAAAACTGTCCATACTCATTTAAGTTATCAACGTTCACACTTTTAGCCATACTCTTAGCTCCTGGGTCAAGATTCGTGTATTTTACCTTTAGTTGTGGCATAACTTTGAATATTTACCAACATGTATTCTGAATCCTCACTCAAGTGATCACTGGAGCTCATCATTTGTAGCTGAAGTTTTCAGCAATTTTTCAAATTAGACAAAGCAAAGAGATGGTTTTCACAGCAAATGATCTTAAGGTGATGGCTCTTATATAAATAAATGGGCGGTGGAGTAGTCCAGTGGTTAAAGCGTCCGCTCGTCACGCTGAAGACCTGGGTTCGATTCCCACATGGGTACAATGTGTAAAGCCCATTTCTGGTGTCCGCCGTGATATTGCTAGAATAGCTAAAACCCGCGTAAAACCATACCCACTCACCCAATGAATAACGGTTATTGTTCTTTGGTAATTTTATTGAAGGTGTTAACTCTGAAAATTGACACCTTACTGTTAAACAAAATGTCTGTAAACGACACCCTTGTTCTTCCTTTGGGTGTTAAAGTAAACAAGATCATGCGTTCTTTTTGTAATTCTCATTTCCAACTTGAAGCAGTAAGAGAATCCCCCCCCCCCCACCAATTAATAAAAATAAAAAATAAATATGTAAAATGAAATAAAAGTAAAAAATGCATCAAACTTGATTGTCCTAATTGTGTACCTGACAATTAAGTCTTTAAATTAATATAATTATCTTGATGAAGTCTTTTGCCTCGAATTCATTTTTAATAGATGCAGATGAAGAAAGATCCAGCTGATATTTTCTTTTTATGTAAGTGTTTTTAATCACATCATCGCATACACTTTCACAATGGAGGGGAAAATAGAGATCAGAAACCTTTTACTGTTTTATATCGGAATTCATAGCTGGCGCGAGGGAGATGGGAAACACACAGAGAATGAAATGAAGAAAAAAATGGACAATTCAGCGTTTTTGCAGAAACACAACTTAGATGTTGCTAGTTTAAGATTAGGGATCCAACCATACCATGTTGCTGCAGATATCTGGAACTTTCAAACCTGAAAAAGAAACATGATATAATTACCACGTGTCAAAAAGGTAAATGACACATGGAGTCCAACATACATGGGGTGAGCACCAGAATAACCCTTGCTCAAACCCTCTCGTGGGGATGTCAATGTAATAAGAAAACCATCGATAATAACTTTTGGTTCTGACCAGGCTAGCTATTCTCGAAACGTTCGAAGCCGTACGAACTTCTTAAGCTTATTTTTACACATTGGCTACGATCAAAGTTAAGAATTCTTAGGGCTACAAACGTTTCAAGAATAAGGGCCCTGGCTAGCTATTCTCGAAACGTTCGTAGCCTTACGAACTTCTTAAGCCCATTCTGTACAAACTGACTACGATCAAAGTTAAGAATTCTTAGGGATACGAACGTTTCGAGAGTAAGGGCCCTGGTTCTTACCCATAAAGTTGCATGTTTTTTCATTTTCTGACCAACTTCTAGAACGTCAAGCACGCAACTGTCAATGCATTGACTGTTGGACATCAGATTTCCAGAACGGCTCTATGGTATTGATAGACAAGTACGAGGTTTAATGCATGCAAATATAGGACAAGGTTTTCATGAGTTAGATCTCATGATTCAGGTTGTGTATCATTTGCAAATATTATCAAATGATGGATAAGAACATTGGAACCTATTTCGGTTTCACTATCAGTGGTAAAATATCTTTCAGATTCCAGCCTAACCAACCTTTTATTTAGTATGTTCACACACAATACCAACTTTCATGTTTACTGGGCCAATTGTCATGGTAACTCAGGCTCTCTTAAAGTATGGTTCTGTACACAGAGTTCCACAAGACATACGCACTGAGCAATATCAGACAATATCTACATTTCAGCCAGTGAGAGGCTTCGTTCTGTTGTCATGGCACATCTTTGTAATATATTACTTCTGAATATATTGGGTTAGAGGAACCAGGAGACATACACTGAAACAATACGTGTTTAGTGTGTAAATGTTGTGTTACATTTTACACAACACTGCTCATTAACTATACAACATACATTTAGTTAGATCGCCTACAGCTGTTAATGACTGAGTGTTAACACTAATAACTTGCATTGTAAGAGAATGCCTAAACACATATAATGTGAAGAGTCTGCTAGGTAATAGGATTCTGGACGCAATGTTGTAACTATTTTTATGGTACACACGGTTATCATACACAATTTGTATGTTTATTGTCATAGTTCTGCTGTTCAGTGACATATAAACTACCGGGCAAAAGAAACTTATCACTTTTAAAGTAATTGTATATAAAAAAGAAAAGAATCGCCGGTACAGGTTTGGAACCAAGCAGAAAACATTCACCAAAACTCAGCATGGTCCCGATAACACCGCAGCTGTACAAAAACTTCGTGTGAATCGTGCATTTTTCAAAACGTTGTTTGCGGAGTTTTACCAAAGCCTCCAACTGAATAGGATTCATGACGCAATGTTGTAACTTTTTATTGCACACTTTTTGAACACCGCACTCAGCAATATTCAAGCTATATTGCAAGTCATCGAGTCAGGGCCACACAATCAAGTAATCAAAAAATCATGTTGTGAATATATGTTTTACATATGTGGCTGTTGTGAACTTAAGCACCTTGTATGTATATATACGTCCCATTTACTTCATCTGGAGGCGGTTCACGAGTCAGCCCGGTTCCCTGGGCAGAGTTACAGAATTGTATCGTTTGTTTCCACGCACCTCAATATGGCAAGAAATGAAGCCGAACGTTGCCACTTTTGCAGCATGAATTATGTTTTGCAATAGAAATATCTCGTTGCTTCCACTATTATTTTTCTAGTTGTTTCGAGTTTCTTTAAAACTTCATCTTTCGTGTATTTTTCGTTGCTTCCATTATTTTCCCGGTATTTCGATTATTTTCTGGTTAGTTCCAGATTTTGGAAAGAAACTTGAAGTAACGAGAATATAATGGAAGCAACGAGAAAAATATTCCAATTTTCAAGAACAACTTTCCATCATTTCAAACTAAGTAAGGGTCATGTAGTTGCAAATCAATTTCTTGCCCCATACTTTCATTAAAGTAAATTATATTTACACAAAATTATATTTTACAAGATTACATTTGACAACATTGAACATTGTTTCTACTACTGGTAGTGATCATGTTATGTTTCTAGATTCCGGTCACCCTAATATTTCATTATCATTGCACATAAAAGGTACACTTAGTTACTTGTTATTTAACTTTACTTTGGCTACACTTGGCTACACTCCAGCTACACTCAGCTACACTCAGCTGCACTCAGCTACACTCCAGCTACACTCAGCTGCTTGTTGTTTTAAGTCTGATAAGGATTATGAATTACGGCGCAAATGGACTTTAAAGATGACATAGGACACTTTGGTATTACACAAAAAATACTAATAACTCTAATAGATGGCTATATTTTTGTGTGTAAAATACAGACTTTTCAATTCACATTTTTTAAATTCAACAATGTTGATTACAAACACAACTCTAAGGGACTGATTAAATGAGCGTAAGGACAAAGCTGAAGAAGAATCATACTTACCAAAGTTTGTTGATCGTCGTATCTTGTCTGTTGTGTCAGAGCTGGGGAGTAGCGAAACACATGTCTCCAGCAAGATTTATAATCGCTTGAATCCGGGTATGAAGTTCCGTTATCCACCCACGGATTTATGCGGTTGACCAATCGTAGTAGGTCTAAGTCAGTGGCCTTGAATCCGGGTGCTTATGCGGTAAAACCAATCTGTAGTGGTTCTGATTCTATGGCTTGGAATTGAGGGAGGTAGCAGCACGGACTTTGTGTGTTTGATCAGTGGTAGCTGGTCATATTTAGGTTTATAATCTTGAGGAACGATAGTGCGTGGGTTAAAGTGCCCGTTTAACTGTTTACGTGCACGTAATTTCACATCCGTGGAGATATGTGACATATGTCAAGGTCATCAATAACGTGTATAAACATTGAGGAACATTTTCATGGGAGAGCAGAGATAAAACAAACGGCAAATCAAATCAAAATAATTTTCTATATTTTCTACCACCCATTCTAGGTGCATTTACATGTCAGCACTGAAGGGATGTGATATGGCTCTGCCCCACTATATCCCTCTTAGACAAATGCTGGAGAACTATGATATGCTATTGTTTGCAACACAATTAGACAATTAGATTGTATGTACCAGGATTTACAATATTCTATCACAACAGAACAACGGACAGTATAAAAATTCAGGATGAAAATTGGCAGCGCTCAGAACTTATATCACAAGTCACTTAAAAGTTACAGCGTGAATCGAAATATTCTCTGTATTATCTGGTTTTGAAACATCATGTTGGTTTTACATGTGACACACTATGGACAAAATGACACAGTGTATATCGTTATACCCAACGATCACATATATGCATACAAAATGATCACGATATGCATACAAATGACATACTGTATATCGTTATCGCATATATATACCCAACGATCACGATATCACACATACAAAATGACACTGTGTATATCGTTATAACATATATACCCAACGATCACGATATCACACATACAAAATGACACAGTGTATATCGTTATAACATATATACCCAACGATCACGATATCACACATACAAAATGACACAGTGTATATCGTTATAACATATATACCCAACGATCACGATATCACACATACAAAATGACACAGTGTATATCGTTATAACATATATACCCAACGATCACGATATCACACATACAAAATGACACAGTGTATATCGTTATAACATATATACCCAACGATCACGATATCACACATACAAAATGACACAGTGTATATCGTTATAACATATATACCCAACGATCACGATATCACACATACAAAATGACACAGTGTATATCGTTATAACATATATACCCAACGATCACGATATCACACATACAAAAATGACACAGTGTATATCGTTATAACATATATACCCAACGATCACGATATCACACATACAAAATGACACAGTGTATATCGTTATAACATATATACCCAACGATCACGATATCACACATACAAAAAATGACACTGTGTATATCGTTATAACATATATACCCAACGATCACGATATCACAAATGCAAAATGACACAGTGTATATCGTTATAACATATATACCCAACGATCACGATATCACACATACAAAATGACACAGTGTATATCGTTATAACATATATACCCAACGATCACGATATCACACATACAAAATGACACAGTGTATAGTGTTATAACGTTATAACGATATATACCCAACGATCACGATATCACACATACAAAATGACACAGTGTATATCGTTATAACATATATACCCAACGATCACGATATCACACATGCAAAATGACACTGTGTATATCGTTATAACATATATACCCAACGATCACGATATCACACATACAAAAAATGACAGTGTGTATATCGTTATAACATATATATACCCAACGATCACGATATCACACATGCAAAATGACACAGTGTATATCGTTATAACATATATACCCAACGATCACGATATCACACATACAAAATGACACAGTGTATATCGTTATAACATATATACCCAACGATCACGATATCCACACATACAAAATGACACAGTGTATATCGTTATAACATATATACCCAACGATCCCAACGATCACGATATCACACATACAAAATGACACGGTGTGTATATCGTTTAAAACGATCACGATGACACGGTGTATATCGTTATAACATATATACCCAACGATCACGATATCACACATACAAAATGACACAGTGTATATCGTTATAACATATATACCCAACGATCACGATATCACACATACAAAATGACACAGTGTATATCGTTATAACATATATACCCAACGATCACGATATCACACATGCAAAATGACACAGTGTATATCGTTATAACATATATACCCAACGATCACGATATCACACATACAAATATATGACGACACGTGTATATCGTTATAACGTTATAATATATACCCAACGATCACGATATCACATAACAAAATGACACAGTGTATATCGTTATAATATATATACCCAACGATCACGATATCACACATGCAAAATGACACGGTGTATATCGTTTATAACATATATACCCAACGATCACGATATCGCGCACATACAAAATGACATATATACCCAACGATCACGATATGTGTATATCGTTATATAACATATATACCCAACGATCACGATATCACACATACAAAATGACAGGTGTATATCGTTATAACATATATACCCAACGATCACG